CTCCAACAAAATTATTCAGGTTTGTGTTTCTTTATGGCAGTGTATTACTCCAGTTGTACAAATACTATATAATCTTTATTCATTCATCTGTTGATCAGTATATTATGAGTTGTACTTTAGAAACATGAAATGTGTATATGTTTCTGCAATATGATGTTTTCTAGCACTTTTCAAAAGCTATCTAAGGGGAAATGATTGGTTGCAATGGAATAGTTATTTTTAGATCTTTGAAGAATATCCACACTGAAATTTGTAATGGCGGTACTAGTATTCATTCATACCAACAATAGAAAAGGGCTTCCTTTTTCAATATATGTGATTTATAGATCACACAATTTGTACATTATATGAAAACAAATCAATGTGTTTTACTATACTCAAAAATTTTTAAAAATATTACTACAGTTTAAATATAGAATATTTCAATCACAAGAATGAGGAAATAGCATAAAAATGTCAGTGACTGCATTTCCTCCAGCTGTCTCTGGAAAACCTCCAATATATTTTACATTCTATTCTTTTGTGTACTCTGGATATTTTATATGTGAGCATTCACAAAATAATGTGGACTTTTTATCTGCCATCTTTCACTTAGCACATGTTCAGGGTTAATGAGTGTTTAGTTTAAATGCTAATGATTTTTTATGGGTAAATAATACACATTTTACAAAAATATCTGAGGCTATTCTTGGACCTGCATGAAGGTATCCAGCAAAGTTAAACTTTTCCATCATCTTTATTTTTACGTGATAGCCTCTCCCATCTTAATTCAGCCAAATTTACTATCAGTGCACACCCAGTCAAGGCCCTTGTATTTTATATTTCAGATTTATCATTATATTTGTTTTTCCTTGATGGATTTTATCCAATATCTATTGTGAAAGCTATTTAAATTACACTTCTGTATAGTTTACATACAATAACTTGATGTGTTGTTTCTGTTTTCCTCTGAAAAACAAGGGGAGATAAAATTTTGTCTTACATTTTACTTTTTAAATATCCTCTTACTTTTTGTAGAGATTTGCAATCACAAAATTTGCACTGTATCAATGTTAAAAAAATTAATCTTGAGAAGGCTGAGATTTGTATTAGTCATCGTTGCTGATACCGAACACATCCAAAACTTATACAGCAGTTCATAAGGTCCTCTCATTGGCTACCCCACTTTAAAAGTTCTATGATGTTCTCTTATATTGCATATGCAAATCAGTATCTCATCTCATCTTTTTTATTTTATCTACTCAGGTTATTGAGGCAATAAACATTTGAGAATTCCTGTATATTCCTAAGTACAATGTGGCATTACAGTCTTGACCTGGGAGATTTTGAAAGAGCCCATAACTGACATGTTGTCAGGGATACGGTTATAGCCGCAGTCCTGCATTTTTTTCCCTTAGAGATATAAGAAGCCTCATTAACTCATCTTGACTTTACATAAAGATTAGAACATTTGCTAGTGAGAAAAGAAAGCATTCTTTCAAGTATGTATGTCTTGGGGAGATCATGAAAGGTAGAGGACATAGGAAAACACAGAAGGGCAGGTTCTCACTGTATGAGAAGAACCCACGACTAAGTCAGGGAAGGAACAGCACTCACTGAAATTCAGGACATATTTTTCATCAAAATATCTTTATTGCTCACAGAATGCTTATAAATTCCAAACTCGATATAGACTTCTCAAACAGGACTTAAAAGGGTCTTGAGTATAGAGAAAATGATTTCTATCCATGGCATGTTATTTACACATGGAAGGGGACTCTTTTCAGATATAAAAAAGCAGGACTTTCAAAATGAGATTTCAATTCACCCAATAGCAAGTCCTTTCCAATCCCAAGTTCAGTGCCTTTAATATGATGTGAAATATGGTCCAGAAGTATCAGTCCCACTTTGTATGTCAAGTAGGCTCTTTACTTCATGCACAAACTGTACAAACCCTCTCTCTGTTTTCTAGGGCATGCTGGAAGAGATCTGATATGCAAGTGCAGAAATCAGAATCAGAAATGATACAATCAGGAGCAGTAGGAGTTGGATAGTCAAGCATTTTCACACTATAAATATGTATAGAATAACAAAAAAACTAGTTATTAGAGAGAATGAGAGCAAGAGAGGGAGATTTCAAAATAATTAACATGACTGCTCAGATTCAGAACTCTCTGAAGTCTCAAGGATCTTATTCTTTGTCCAGGTAAAAGTGCACATTCTATACTAGATAAATTTGTTTCAAAATTATCACAAAATCAAATAACAATACACAGGCAGGCGGTCATAATTTTTAGAGTAATGCTGGAGAAAAAGAAAAGATTAAGGCACAGATAGTGTTTCTGCTGTGATTTCACTAATCAGATTGAGAAAACCTTGGCTATTTTAATCGCACATCTACTAAGGTTCACTTTGTGATTTGCCCCCTCTTGTTGTTCCTCCGCACGAGAGGGCTCCCCAGGTCCTAGGCATTCTGCTGCCCTTTCTTTCCATGCATGTTAAAAATTGCTACTGACTCCATCGTTATTGTTGTTAGTTGCCTCCTTCATCTTTATCTTCATCATCACCACCTCCACCATCACCATCGCTTCGTTATCAACACACGATAACAGTTTTATCCTACTGTAAATACATTTATGAATTCATTATCCATTGAGATTTTAAAATGTTTTATCAGGAAACCTAATATTGGATGTGATCAATATGCTAATTTCACTAATTTTCTCACTCTATAGCAATGTATTTTTTAACACCTAGAATGACTCTTTCAAATTGTTATTATTTTCAACTGCCAAGAAGGCAAATTTAGTGTAGACTGTTTATAATTAAAAAGCCATGGACCATTGAAACTAGAATATTGTATTACCTAGTATGATGTGAATTCAGTGTGAGAGTGTTACCAAGAACTTTGAGGGTAGGCCTCTTTTCAAACCTCACTTAGACAACTTTAAAATAACTAAGCATAAATCAAACTGGGAACATTCAGTAAGGTAGTTTTGTACTTTCAATTAACCATGCATTTCTTCTTTTTTCCTAGTGATAAACAAAACCCCCAGATCAGAGAAATGGTCTGAAATAACTATGCAGAGAGGAGAACAAAAGCAGATTTCTTAGTTCTGATGAGGGTTGAGTAACTTGAAAACTGAATATATGGAAATGACTGGAAATCTACATACAGAAAGTTGTGGGGAGCACAAACAAGAAAAAGAGATGAGGAGTTAAATGCTAAGGTCAGAGCTTTGTGCTATGATGCAGTTGTAAGGCAGAATGCTGGAAAAAGCACAGCTGGGTGTACCAGTCACAGAACATGTAGATGGAACCTATTGATAATATAAACCTAAGAAAGGCAGAGGTTACTTTTCTGGTTTCTTGTTGATAGTCTTTTTATTTACCAGAAAAATGTCACAACTAAGCGTCTCCATTAAATGGAACTAAACTCCATGAATCTTACAGAAATAAAAAGTGAGAGTTTAAAAGGCCTGAGGAAGTTTTAAACACAGGAACATTGCCAATTACTTACTAGTTGGAGTAAGTGTTTCTTGCATTGTAAATTATCCTATAAACAAGTAAGAGAGCATGGATGCTTGGCAAACAATGCACAAGCTGCATTTTAAGGGATTGCTCAGCTTTCTTGCTTCAACGATGTTGTCTTTATGGTAGAATGACAGGGGAACGTATTTTTGAGTTATGCAAATTGATTTATATAAACAAATTGGTTTATACAAATTAAGTAGTATCAAAATCCAATGCTGATAGGCTAGTGTTGTATCAAATGTTTATATTTTGTTTTTGTTTAAAACAAAAATTCTGCTCTATGTTTCTATAAGTCCTCTGAAATTGCTTTCTTTCTTTCTTTCTTTCTTTCTTTCTTTCTTTTTTTTTTTGATTTGGTAGCAAACTAGTCTAAACAAGTCATCAGGTTTCAAATACAAGGAGACTTTTTTATTTTTTTTAAATTACAACCAAATATGCTAGAATGTTCTCTAATACTGTATTTAAAGGTCATCTAAAAAAGTGAATATATATGTATATATATTCAGTGAAATTTATCTTAAGCTATAGTTAGTTCATTGAGTAACAGAGTGAAACACTGGTAACACAGTTGATCAGAAAAAGTGGGGTCTGTGATTATATAACAGGGGACACATGAGTAAGAACAAGAGTGATTCCATCAGTTCTTCCCTGAATGCTGTAAATGTACCTAACATGGTGTTTTATTTTCTGAAGGAAAATGTCAAGCGAGTTAGATAAGGAATACAACTCAAATCAACAGAGGTCTCATTGAAAGGGCTAATATCAATCTACTTCACCTGGATCTGAAAACTTATAAGAAAATTACACATTAAAATTTAGCTGAGAATTTGTATGCATGTGTGTTGTCCTGTGTACATAGTCTTTCCAAAACCATCCATATTTAGAGAAAATTTTGAATAGTTTTATATGTTGGAGTTATAAATGCAGATTCTTATCAGTACAGATGGATATTTGACAATAACAGTCATTAAAACAAGATAAAGGAAAACATAAATGTTGGGTGGATTAAGAATCTAGAGGTGAGCACTGAAGCTTAGTTCAGTTTCCTTCTTTTTGTTGTTAATACATGTTTTTAGTATGCAATGATTGAATTTATCACTGGGAGTTTGTAGGTGTACATAAGATATTTTAATTGTTTTTATCCCTTTTATATCTCTCTTTCTCTGTTAACACCAATTTTTCCCTCTCTACCTACAAAAGCTCTATATTCATTTATTTTTCCACTATTGTTTTCAAATCCAGATTCCTTCATTTCCTCTCCACACCTTCCATCACTTGTTTCTGATTTGAAATAATTTGCTTTTTTCCTAACAGTTATATTTCTTTCCTCTCTCTTCATGATGCAGATCTTGGATTTATCAAATCTCCTTCTCCTCACTGGAATGTAATTGTGGAACTGAACTGTGGTTGAACATTGATCCCCATGGCAACCTCAAACGCCAGCAGCACCCTCTCCTCCACATTCTATCTCACAGGTATCCCTGGCTATGAATAATTTCACCACTGGATCATCCACACCTCTCAGAGCACAGTCTGGCATTCTGCTTGCCATGGCCCTTGACCGTTATGTGGCAATCTGCTATCCACTGAGACACGCCACCATTTTCACAACCCAGCTGGTCACCCAAATAGGAGCTGCTGTCTCCCTGGGGGCTGCCATTCTTGTAGCCCCATGTCTTCTACTGATAAAGTGTCGGTTCCAATTATATCACACATCAGTCATCTCCCACTCCTACTGTGAGCATATGGCCATTGTGAAACTAGCTGCAGGAAATATCACGGTCAACAAAATCTATGGTTTGTTTGTGGCCTTCACTGTTGCAGGGTTTGACCTCACATTCATCACATTGTCCTACATAAAGATATTTGTCACAGTTTTTAATTTGCCCCAGAAGGAGGCGAGGTTGAAGGCTTTTAACACCTGCATTGCTCACATCTGTGTCTTCCTCCAGTTCTACCTCCTGACATTCTTCTCCTCCTTCACATACAGATTTGGCTCTCACATTCCCCCATCGATCCATATCCTCTTTTCTAGCTTTTACTTACTGGTTCCTCCATTCTTCAACCCACTTGTCTATGGAATAAAGACCAAGCAGATCCGTATTAATGTGGTAAAATTTTGCTGTGTGTTATACTCTATCTGTGGTGGATTGAAAACTGATGGTTAACATAAACACCAGCTGAACTGAATCTGCATAGTGCAGAGTGCAGATGGCTCACCTGTGGATTGTTCACAGCATAAAAAGGACAACTGAGGAGGTAGAGTGTTGTTTGGAGCTGTTGGTTCTCCCGTTTCTGTGCATTTTCTGGACGAATGTGTCAAGCTTCTTTTGTGATAGGAACTTGGCTGTTCTTATCATCGGAGGATCTCTGTACTTTCTTGTAGCTGAGTATGGCTGTAGTTCCCTTTGGTGGAGCTATAGTTCTTATGCTGAGCATGGCTTCTTGGCTTCAGAGGAGAAGGTGGTATGCTGCTCAGTCTCCAGAATAAAATTTCACTCTGGCTTCCTGATGTGAAGTTGGGTGTTCTCATTGTCAGAGGAGCTCAGGGCCTCATTCTTGCTGAGGGTGACTGCTGGCGTTTTCAGGGGAGCTCTGATTCTTACTCTGAACATCACTTCCTGACTCCAGTGCAGAACCCTCAGCTTGCTGGTACAGATTCTTCATCCTGCTGGCATAGACTTTCTGTCCTCACCATTCACCTTTGGGCTTTTCACAGCACATATCCATGAAACATTTGCATGAAAATACTTGTGATCTCTTGGTCTCTGGTTGAACTTGTGGGTGTCATTGACATGGGCTCTAATTCTTCAACTAGATTCATGCAGTACATTTCTGTGCGATCCAGTTTCTCAGCTGGATTCTCTAGATCTTCAGTTTATGGACATATTTCCTGTGCTTTCTTTGTATATGACTCCTTGGGTGAGCATTATAAATAATAATATAAATCATGTGTCCTCTATTATTGTGTTCTCCTTGCTACCCCTGCTACAGCACTGGCCTTTCTGCATGGTGAAATATACCCATCTGTCAAATAAAGCAACAATAATGACCCATATTATTTGAGATACCAAACTTTTGCTTTTACAGAAATTGTCATGTGAAATATTCCAGAAGGAATGCAATATTTTATGGCAGCTGTCAGTCAAAGGGTTTGTGCATCCTCCCTAAGGAACAAAGAAGTAATAGAAACAGCACAACAGTGAACATGTTTTACACCTTTTTCCCTTTTACTTTTATTCCGGTTTCAGTTGTTCCTCTAAGAATCTTCTCTAGGAGGATTCATGAAGTACACATCTGTCACAGAATTGAAATACACTCGAGGCTCGTTATTCTGTAGTGTCCAGGCACTGAATACAGGTTATTTATCCTATTAATTTTGACAATCTCAGTAATTTAAAAAACAAAAGAAAGAGATAATGAAATATGATTTAACCTAGAAATATTTATATGGTGTGTATTAAAATAAATTTAAAACTTTAGTCATTCCGAAGTTCATTCAGACATTATAGTCTCATAGGTTATGGGAGTTAAGTGTTGAAATTTAGGCATCAAAACTTTTTCTACTACCTCTCACACTTCTTAAATTTTCAATGCTAAAATCACAATGTATCAAATTTTACATAAGAGAATAATAATATGGTAGTAAATTATTACTATATTAAATGTGATGTATGTCTTATATTTATAAGTTTATAGCTAAATGTTTTCTTGAACAAAAATTGAAAAGTAGAGACAGGAGGGCATGAACAAAGAGGGCAGGGAAAAAAGGATAAAAATATGAGCATTTTAAATTTCAGGTAGGTAATCTGAAGTGGATATATGAAAAGAGGATGGGGTAAAAGAGGAGGAGGAGAACAGGAAGAGGAAGAAGAAAAATAAGAAGGTGAATAACAAGAAGATGAAGCAGAGGAACATGATGGGAGGAAAAGGAAAATAGTAAGAAGAAAAGACAAAATGAAGAAGAAGATAGGGGGAGAAGGAGGAGATGGAAGAGGAGGAAGAGAGTTTCCAGAGAAGAAGAAGAAGGACAGGTTTCTACTCTACTAAAACACAGGATGATGAATATTTCTGGAATGAAAGAAATTTTCTATCTTCTGATAAAACAATGAGAAATATATATTTCAGCATATGTGTTTAAGATTTACACACTCTATTGACCTTACTATAAAAAATTGTTTAAACAAATGCTGAGCAATGGTTATCAATACTTTTGACCCTGAGGTTTAGCTGCCGCGCCTGGCCATAGGTCTGCAGAGGAGGAGCTGGGCAGATCTGGGGTGCCCTCACTGGCCTCTCTGCGTGTCTGGAGGACTCTGGATTTCTGCGCCCAGACTGCTGGAGCTCCCTCAGGCTTCCAGGTGCAGTGAAGGAGAGAGGTGGGTTTGAGGCTTCCACATCAGCCTCCCCATTCCCGGCTTCATTTGGAGACCTGCTGAGCTCCCGATAGGTGGGCTGGCCCACACTATCAGCCTAGCCCAGCCTGTTTAGCTGCCGCGCCTGGCCATAGGTCTGCAGAGGAGGAGCTGGGCAGATCTGGGGTGCCCTCATTGGCCTCTCTGCGTGACTGGAGGACTCTGGATTTCTGCGCCCAGACTGCTGGAGTTCCCGCAGGCTTCCAGGTGCAGTGAAGGGGAGAGGTGGGTTTGAGGCTTCCACATCAGCCTCCCCATTCCTGGCTTCATTTGGAGACCTGCTGAGCTCCCGATAGGTGGGCTGGCCCACACTACCAGCCTAGCCCAGCCTGTTTAGCTGCCGCGCCTGGCCATAGGTCTGCAGAGGATGAGCTGGGCAGATCTGGGGTGCCCTCACCGGCCTCTCTGTGTGTCTGGAGGACTGTGGATATCTCTGCAACCAGGGAGGGTCCACAGGTTCCTGAAGCACTGTGGCCTGTGGTGAGTACCCTAACCCGGCTGCGATTGAAGAACTGTGGAGCTTCCAAGGGGCAGGTGGGCGCACAGTGTCCCTGAGGCCCAGCTTGTCTGGAACTGCGGAGTTCTGAGCAGGCAGAGGAGGGCCACTGGTTCTGTAGGCCTAATGGCTTGGAGTAGCGTGGCGCCAGAGTCCCAGTAGCTCCAAACATAGAAGGGGATTTTCAACAGATCCTGAGGAAGCTTTCAAATAACACTTGAAACACAGAAATATAGGAAAATGACAAAACGAAAGACCAAATTACAACCTCAAATCTCCAGCCCATCTCAAGAAACCCTAGGAGCGATGTATATAGAAGAAAATATATCCCATCCACCTCATATATCGGACACAATAGCCACTGAAATTGACAAGCAACTCCAGGAAGCTTTAAAGAAATTCAAACTCGAAATAATCTCCCAGATAAAAGAAGAAATGATAAAAGAAATGAAAGAGATTCTAAATATATCTAAAGAAAACACAGATAAAAAATTGGAGGAACTAAACAAAAAGATAGAATCCTTAGACGAGCAATATAAGAAACAAACAGAATACATAATGCAGATGCACAGAGATATACAGGAAATAAAAAACTCCACTGAAAGTTGTAAAAACCGCCTTAATGAAAGTGAAGATAGAATTTCAGACCTTGAAGACAGGATTGCAGCTAGTGAACAGGAAAGGAAAGATCTTTTGAAAATAACAAGGAACCAGGAATCAACAATTCAACAACTGCAAGACGATACAAAGAAGAATAACATAAGAATGATAGGGATTAATGAAAGAGAGGGAGACAACATGAAGGATGTCAGGAGGATATTTAGAGAAGTAATAGCTGAAAATTTCCCAAGCATGAGATCAGAAACTGACATCAGGATCAGTGAAGCATATAGAACTCCAAACAATCATAAACAAAATAAAACTACACCCAGACATATAATAGTCACCATCCCAGAAATCCAACACAAGAATAGATTATTAAAAGCTGTCAGAGAGAAAAGACAAATCACTTATAAAGGAAAACCTATCAGAATCACAGCAGACTTCTCAGCACAAACGATAAAGTCAAGAAGAGCATGGAGTGAAGTATTCCAGATCCTAAAGCAAAATGATTTCCAACTAAGACAGATATATCCTGCAAAACTATCATTCAAAATAGATGGTGCAATACGATACTTCCATGACAAAGAACAGCTGAAGAACTTCATGAACACCAAACCAACCCTGCAAAAAATATTGAAAGACAGTTTAGATACACAAAGGAAAAAACCACTAAGCAAAGCAAATAATTAAACAGAACCGAAAGATAAAGATGCAACAGCAGAGAGATAACATTCCTACAATTAACCAGCACTTAACAGTAATAACCATTAATGTAAATGGTCTCAATGCACCAATCAAAAGAAACAGACTAGCAGAATGGATCAAGAAACAAAATCCAACCATATGCTGTTTACAGGAAACCCATCTAACCCAGAAAGATACTCACAGACTGAAAGTCAAAGGATGGAAAACAATTCTTCATGCAGCAGGAATCCAAAAAAAGGCAGGAGTAGCCATTCTGTTTGCAGTCAACGTGAACTTTAAACCAACAATGACCATAAAGGACAATGAAGGTCACTACATACTCGTAAGGGGAAAACTCCAAGAGGAAGAGATGACTATCTTAAATATATATGCACCAAACTCCAGAGCACCCAGTTATATAAAACAATTATTAACAGAAATGAAAACTCAAATTACCAGTAACACAATTGTAACAGGAGACCTTAATACACCACTGATACCAAGGGACAGATCAACCAGACAGAAAATGAGCAAAGAAATAACAGAACTGAATCACACCTGTGAACAAATGGGTTTGATAGACATATACAGAATGTTCCACCCAACAACATCAGAATACACATTCTTCTCAGCAGTACATGGATCATTTTCTAAAATAGACCATATATTAACTCACAGAACATATTTAAGCAAATGCAAAAGAGTTGAAATCATCCCTTGCATATTATCGGATCATAGTGCTCTGAAATTAGAAATTAATGACAAAGGATACTGCAAAAATTCCGCAAACACATGGAAACTAAATAACACACTCTTGAGTAATCAGTGGGTCACAGAAGAAATTAAAGAAGAAATTAAACAATACCTAAAAGAAAATGAAAATGCAGATACAACTTACCGGAATCTGTGGGATGCAATGAAAGCCGTTCTGAGAGGAAAATTTATTGCACTGAGTTCCCACATCAGGAAA